TCTTGACATTTCAATGGTCCTTTTCAACCTTTCTGTGATGTCCCCTTATAAGCATAGAATGTATCGTGTCTCCTACAGGTTGACACAGGTAGGCAAATAGCCTGACTTGTTCTGGGCAATCAGTCTTTTCATCTGCAGGTATTGCACTCAGCACCCTTCTAAAGGCTGGATCCCTAAAACTGAAACACAATTGTCTTATTCAACAGAGATAAAAGGATGAGGAAAATATCAGTGCTACCCTTCAACACTACCTTGGGTTGGCACCAAGGGGACACTGAGGTAACAATTAGTGGGGTCAATATCTGGGCTGCAACATTCCTTCTCTTGCCCATTGTCTACCTTTTGTTTCATTACATTTTGAGTGTGTGTGTGTGTGTGTGTGTGTACTTGTGTAATGCAGGTATAAAGATATGTGTGTATGTGTGTGTAAGTGTATGTATATGTGTATCATGTGTGGGTATGTGTAAGTATGTGTATGTGTGATATGTGTGTGTATAAGTGTATGTATATGTGTATTATGTGTATGTATGCATGTGTGTCTGTGCGTGTCAGTGTGTGTGATTATGAACACACATGCACATGTGTAAAGACATCTGTGTGTGTGTGTGTGTGTTTGTGTGTGTGTGTAAACCAGACCTAAACATCAGGTATCTTTCTTCATTTCCACTCCCCCCCACACACACCGTGGTTTTTGAGACCAGATTTCTCACTGGCTACACTGTAGTTTCTCAAGGATTTTCATCTTATGTTCTGGGAATCAAAACGTAGGTCCTCAATTTTGTGCATCTGAGCCTAGCTCTGCAATGACCAATTCCAACCTACTAGTGTGATTCTCCCTGAACACAGAGCTGGGAAGAAATATGCACAACCAATACTCGAATTTGTCATAAGCCAGAGCCAGCTCGTCACTGGCTTGGACTCAAATTCTCTGAACCATATGTTCCAATGGAAAGCATGACCAGATTGGAAAAGCAGAAATCCAAATGATACTAAGGAATTGCCCAGACTCATCACTGTTGGCTCTTGTATTCTACGTTGGGTTATTTTCCAGTGTTGCTGTAACCTGGAATGCTGAGAATAAAAATCCAGAGCTTGTCGATTCTTCCTAAGAGTCTCCAACATTTCCTTTTCATCAGATGAGGTTAATGTCTTCTAAAGTTGATGTTCGTTCTCTGAGACCGTGGTACTCACCTTTAGAGTACAGGCAAATGGCCAGGGCACGTGTTTAATGCTGCTGCATCCCAATCTTCTCTTCCCTTTATGATTCAGTAGGTTTGGATGCTCTGAGATCACTTGCCCCAGGGAGCTCTGTTGTTGAAAACGGAATCTAAGCTTAGTGTAATGGTTGAGCATCTGCAATGTTTAAAAGGAACAGTACCTACATGACCATGTGTGCTACTCTGACATCACTTTCAAGTCTTAAAAGTTCCCAAAGTCATCAGTTTCAAGAACTTTCCAGACTCCTAAATCTCACAGAGAGACCTTATACTCACAAGTCATGGATTATTACAGAGAAACAACTCAGGCTAAAGGTAGCCAGGGGAAAAGAACACGGGGGAGATGTTGATGTTTTCTCCCTAAGAAGTCAGGACACTTTGTGATAATGTGAAACTATTCAGTGTTCTGTATTGTCAATACAGAAAGCCACCCACACTGGAGGCTTCATGAAAAGTATGACTGATCTGTTGCCCAGAAGCTTGACCTAAGATTCCAGGGTGCTTAATTCAAAGTGCTTTCCCTGATCCACAATGTTGAACTTTCCTTTCTTTTCTGGCACCTCTTCTAAGGTGTGACGAGCCCCATGCTAAGTCATGTTGTTATTATCTGCTATCTCAAGGCCTATGAGCAAAGATTGCTTCTAGCACAAATGTCATCCTTCTTCTAGGACAATATTAACTCTTTCAGTGCACACCCACACATAGTGAGAGCTCCTGAAAGCCTTACTCAAACTTCTGCCTTTCAAACCACCTTCGTGGATCAAATTTAAATTCTTAACCTCTTACTGAATTAAACAATATCATACATTTATGTGTATGTATTTTAAGAAGTCATATATAGAGTTCTCCGTTATCTGTGCTTTCAAACATCCTCTGGAGATCTTGGGACATATTTTCTTAGAACTACTGTACAAGAGAATTTTAAGTAGGGCTTATTACTTACTTCTGCCATTGCCATGACAACATTCCTGATAAAAGCAGCCTAAGAACAAAACAGTTCATTCTGGGTCACTGAGTGTACAGTCCATCATGACAGAGAATATATGGCAGCATGAATGTGCAGAAGATGTTCACATTGTGTCTTCTGTCAGGAAGCCAAGAGGCAAATGACACCTTTCAGCGCCTTTCTCCTTTGAATTCAGTCTGGGACCCCAGCCTGTAGATTGGTCCCACCCACATTCAGAATGTGTATAGGCTTAGAATTTTTAAATCCTACTTGAATATGGGTTCTCAAATGCTTTGACCCCTCTTCTAGCCCACTGTCCAGAGGTAACGGGGGAAAGATGGTAAATAAGACAAGGGGATGTGGACCAGCTTAGAAGTAGTACTGTGAGGGCAATTCCAATCACTGTTTGTCAGGATAACAGCAGTTCAGTTCAGTAATGTCAGGATACTAACTGTCCAGTTCAAAAATATCACCAAACATGAATCAGCAGCGGCAGCAAGATCCATCAGAAACAGCCAGCCAGCCTCTGCCAGTTGGCACAAGTCAGCAAAAGTGGGCAAAACCAGCTGGGAAGTTCTCTGCCATGCCTCTCTCAAGTGAAGATCAGAGAAGATGTGAGACCGACAAAGTGTGGCATGGCTAGCTATGAAAGCATGCTGTCAGTGTCTGTTGGGTCTGATTTATGCTCTCTCAAACACATGTGTCCTCTCAAAGGTCTGCTTCAGCAGAACATCACATGAGTCTGTCTAACATGACACAACCAGAAATTTCCACTTCAGATATGTCTTCCCTCCTCAGTTTAACCTCTCTGGAAACACCCAGAATTGTGTCTCCTAGGTGATTCTAAGTCCTATCAAGTTGCCAATGAAGATGAGTTAATGGTTAATGGAACGGTGGCCAGCTGAAAATTGTCTAGCAAATGCCACTACCCCCTTTTTTATAACACCAGAACGTGACTCAGAGAAGGGCAAACTTAGCCTGTGAAAACTAGCAAACTCTTGCCTTTGAAAGAAGGGCAGCTACTTTAACAGATTGCTTTCTCTCTATGTTAATCATGTTTCTGAGTGAGTTCAAGAAAATTTGATAGGAAGTTTGCTGATTTACTGAGTAGCTTAGATGTTTTTTTCTTATAATGCTTAACTTCAAGAGCAGGCAGAGCCATTGGATGACTGAAGAGCTGATTTCCAAACAGTTTTACAGCCCTTAGGGGATCAAAATTGTTACTTTACCCATTTTTTAGATTTACAAGTGCAATACAATAAAAATGATTAACATTTTCAAGGGGCACCAATCAGGGTCCTCAAAGTCACTTTAATTATATTTTCACATCTTATGTACTTTGCCACAGTCAGAGAAGTACTCAGATATGACAGTAATAAAAACAAGTGACATAGCTCTGTGCCCTCTGTTAACCTCCTCAATGGCTAAACTCCCCATTTCCCTCATCCAGTGGGCAGAAGAGTTTGTAGCGTCACTGAGTGTACAGCTGTGTGAGGACCCTTTCTAAACACTCAGCCCCCAAGCCCTCAGCACCACACATCTTGTTTTTACTCAAAAAGTGTAGAGCTATCTCTGTTTATATTGGAAGTTATAGGAAGTGTTTATCTGCTGTGAAAATACTCACAGTTGGGGATGATAAGGCTTCAATAAGAGGTCCTTGGATTTGTGGTTTTATTTCCTTTGCTTTACAGAAGCTCCTAGGTAAAGATAACAGTCAGGAATACCGTTCCCTCTTTACAAAAATAGAGACAGAAATACATGATAGTCTTTACCATAATAAATCTGAGCAAATTGATGTTTAATAACATTTGATTTACTCCTCTGTAACACTATGGTTTTTAAAAAGTATTTGCTTCATCCTTTTTAAAGTTATCTGTGTGTGTGTGTGCATGTATGTATGAGCAAATGCATATGAATGCTTGTAGAGGCCAAAACGTCAGATGTCGTAGAGCTGGTGCACAGTGGTGGTAGTGATACTACCTAAGTGTGTGGGGAACTGAGTCTAGTCTCATACAAGAACAGCAGCCCAGGCCACAAGAAACTCTCTTAGTTGTTGAACCATCTCTTCAGCACCATCGATAAAATTATGCTAAGCATTCAAGATAATCTATGCATTTTTCTTGGTTCTGAGATTAGAAAATAAAATGTCGTCTTCCCTCCAAGAGTCTGTAGGCTGACATGAAAAGGAGTATATGATATCCAGAGGTAAGTAACTCCAAACACAATTGATATTTTAAAGGGTTACAAGTAAAAAAATAATTGACCAATGTACAGAAAGATTATAACAAGTCTCAAAACAAAAAAAATATATAACAGCAGACATCTTTCCCTTGTTTCTTTAATTACATTAGGTCACAAGGCTTCCATTTTTGTTAACTCTAGGGCTGGATATAGCTTTGTGGCAGAATGTTTGTCTTGCATGCATAATAACCCAGGTCCAATCCCCAGTACTACCAAGATATCTAAATAAGGAAGGAATGAAGGAAAGAATAAATGGAGGAAGGTAGAAAGGAAAGACAGAAGGAAGGAAGAACAGAAGAAACAACAGAAAGGATTCCTCTTCCTCCTCGTATTCCTATTTTCTTTTCTTTTCTTTTTTTTGAAGAAAGGGTCCCACTAATTCTGTGTTCAAGCAATTCTGTCTTAACCCCCTGAGAACCAGGACTTCACTGAAGTCCACTCTGCCTGATTCTCTTGGTCTGTTTTATATTTGAATGATAAAATGGAAAGTGTACCATCAAGAGCAATGCAAGAGGTGTTCGCAGCCTTCTCCGCCCCTCCGCTGCCCTCTAACGCAGCCGAAGGAGAAGAGGAATAAGTAAGGAGGTGCCCATACCATGGCTCCAAAGCAGACTGCCCACAAATCCAGGGGTGGTAAAGTACCCAGGAAACAACTGGCTACAAAAGCCGCTCGCAAGAGTGTGCCCTCTACCGGAGGGTTGAAGAAACCTCATCGTTACAAGCCTGGTGCTGGGGCACTCCATAAAATCAAAGGACGCTATCAGAAGTTCACTGAACTTCTGATTCATGAGCTTCCTTTTCAGAGTCTGGTGCGAGAAATTGCTCAGGACTTCAAAACAGATCTCCCCTTCCAGAGTGCAGCTATTGGTGCTTTGCAGGAGGCAATGCAGGCCTATCTGGTTGGCCTTTTTGAAGTTACCAACCTGTGTGCTATCCATGCCAAACGTGTAACACTTGTGCCAAAAGATATACAGCTAGCTCGCGTGCTTAAGAGTCCACTATGAGGGGAAACAGTTCATTCTCAAAAAAAATTTTTTCCTCTTCTTCCTGTTATCAGTAGTTTTGAATGTTAGATTTTTTTTCCATGGGGTCAAAGGTACCTGAGTATATGATTTCGAGTGGAAACATAGGGGGCAGAATCAGGTATATGGCAGTTTCTCCATGTTCATTTGTGTGTGGATTTTTAATATAAATGCAAGATGTAAAGCATTAATGCAAGCAAAATGTTTCAGTGAACACATTTCAACAGTTCAACTTCATAACAATTATAAGTAAACCTGTTAAAATTTTCTGGACAATGCCAGCATTTGGATTTTTTTAAATGAGTAAATTTCTTATTGACGGCAACTAACTGGTGTTTGTAGCATTTTTATCATCCAGTAGATTCCATCCATCACAATACTTTCCTAACTGAGTTGTCCTACATGCAAGTACATGTTTTTAATGTTGTCTGTCTTCTATGCTGTTCCTGTAAGTTTGCTATTAAAATACATTTTTTAAAAAAGAACAATACAAGGATCACCATATTTAACTCAATTCCTTAGAACTAAATATGTTAATTTTTATAAATAGTTCTAAATTCATAGTATGAAGACTGCATTAACGCTTGAATCTACATTTCGTTTGAATAAGCAACATATTAGAGCTAAAGTCTATAATGCCCTTATTTTGAATACATGATTTGAGATCAGGCATCGTGACATGTGAATTCAGTATATGTGGGAGGCAGAGGAAGGAGGATTGCCTCAAGTTTAAGGCCAGTCTAGAGGCCACAATGAGTTCTAAGCCAGCCAAGGCTGAAAAATGAGACCTTATCTCAAAAGAAATTTGTGAGGGCTAATATTTTGAGGTAAAGAATATCTTATAAAGTTGATCCATATCCTATGACTACACTATAACAAATAATTTAGATACTACTTGTATATATTTAATTTTAACATGTGTAACTATAATTTATAGATAGATTATACCATGATTTATATAATATATGTATACTATTTTAAGTATATTGTATATAATGGTATAGTATCTAACATATTATATTTATAATGTATAGGGTATAATTTGCAACTACTATATGGAGTAATTATTCTATAATTTCATGTATGTAGACTAAGTAAAGAATTGAACAATGCAGTTAGATACTGATTTGTTTTCACTATGATAGAAAGACACTACATTTACTCATATACTATGAAAGCAAACACATTCCTTTTGATGTTACAAAATATTGGCAGTAAGAGAATGAGTACATTTTGATGCAAACGCAGGCAAGCCCCTTGTATATACCTAAAGTAACGCAGCAAGAACAGGCATCTGTGAATCACAGCTGTCTTGGTTGCGTGACTCAGCCTGGGTCAACATACTGAGAACTGATTTTTCTCTCATTCCCCTAACCTCTGTCGTTTAGATTTTGTTAAAGAAACAGATCTACAAAATGTGAGTTAATATTAATGGCTCTCTATCCTACAAGAACATGCATACAGGAAGCCTGAACATTGTGAAACTCTGTCTTTGAAGACAAAATGTATCAAACGCAGATTCCAGCACCAAACCCAGCCCACAGGCTACTCATCCAAACCTTTTCATGATTCATGTCATAAGAATGGATTTTACATCCAATAATTGTTAATGGGGCGAAAGAATATTTCTTGAACAACAACAAAAAAAGTCGCTATACGACTGTCAACTTCACTATCCACAAATGCAAGTTTGTTGGCATCTATTCATGTCCACCCATCAGAGGCCAGGCCAGAGCTGCCTTCAGCCTCTCTGTTGAGAAACTGCGGCAGGCACCCCATGGCCCTCAAAGCCAAGAAAATATTTACCATCTGGCTCTTCAGAGGAAGTTTTCCTCTCCTGCTCAAGAATACAGATACTTGAGCAGCTTGTTTTGGATCTTGATAGCCTAATCCAGAATTAAGGAGGGGGGGGGGTGGTTGACTCGTGACAGCGGGATTGATGATAATCATAAGAAAAATCTTCCCATATGTGATGTTAGTTTGATACCCGATGTACTTTCAAATGAAAGAGTGCAATTCTTCAAAGATGTGAGAAGATGAAATAGACAGCCAGCAATTTGGCATAATTTAGACGTAGGCTTGCCTGAAAGAGCAAGCTGAATCCAGGAAACAAACAGATGACTCACACGATAGCAAGTCCAAAACCATTATAATTCATGGAGTGTAGGTAACTTTCAGACTAGAATTTTGTGAAAATCTACACTTTGGAGACTGTTTAACCAACTAAGACATGCAAGGGATGTTGTTAGCATATTGAAGGTTTCCTATAGCTTTTGTGGACATTCTCGTGACTTTAAAAGTCAAAGTGAAGCATGTTAGCTGGCAGGAATAAAAATAACTGCATATAGTTTTCTCAAGGTCTCTCAAGAAAACCTCCTGGACTTAGATTAAGACATTTAGAACTCAGTGATTCTAAATCAGTATTTATGAGTTTTCTCTCATGTTTTGTAATTAGCATTCTTTTGAAACCAATGTAGTCTGACAGGTAACTCAGCATTTAGAGATGTTTACTGCTCAAGCATTAAGGCTGGATTTCTTGAATACTTGCTAGGAGTCTGCTCCTTGAAGTTATAAACCATAATAATCTTATTCACTGAGACCTTTTAATTGATGGATCAAAGGCATAATAAATCATTAAAATTCCTTGGTACCTTTTTTGTATACAGTGGCCATGGGTTTGACAGCCAAAGACAGAGCATCTTTAAAAAGGTATCTATTTTGTAAAATGACAAGGTTTACATTCAAGAACGGGTTGAATATGTTTGCAGATACACAAGAAATGGGAAGATAGCACACTGTGAAAAATAAAGACTATCTAAATAGATATACTTCTACGGATATGTGCTGAAGGGGTTTTTAATCTATGTCCTTAATTTGACAATCTACCTTTGCAATTCTGCTACATCATGTAAAGTGTGACCCTCTTTTTAAGGAAGACGGTTATAGAGAATCCCATTTCTTATCTTGAAGGAAGCTACCGTAACTTAAATAAGAATGGCCCCCATAAACTTATGTGTTTGGAAGTTTGGCCACAGGGAATGGCACTATTAGGAGGCTTAGCCTTATTTGAGTAGGTGTGGCCTTGTTGGAAGACGTGTGTCACTGTAGGGGTGGGTCTTGAGGTCTTATATTCTCAAGCTGTTTCCAGTGTGGCTCACAGTCTCCTTCTGCTGCCTGTGGATCAAGATGTAGAACTCTTGGCTCTTCTAACCCCATGTCAGCCAGCATACTGCCATGCTTCTTGCCATGGTAATAAGGGACTAAACCTCTGAAACTGTGAGCCAGCCCCAATTAAATGTTTTTCTCCATATGAGTTGTCATGGTCATGTTGTCTCTTCACAGCAATAAAACTGTAACTAAAGACAGAAAGTATTTGGCATAACTCAGATCAAGTATGAGATCCATATTTTCTCTTAGTGTGACACACTTAGAAAAATGGAGGATTAGAGGAAGATCAGTGAAATCCATTGTAAACGGAGTGAATACTTTATTCCATTCATCTTCTTGGATTTAAATACTCTTGCATGGACCACAGGTGACATGGTTCCTCAATTCAAAACCTTCTAAATGTAGAACTAGAAAACCCCCACACACTATATCAAGTTACGTGTTAGACTTTTCATTATGGTAACAAATGCTTGAGATAAACAGTTTAATGAAGAAAAGAATTATTTGGGTTCATGGTTTCAGCAACTTTAGCCCATGGTTAAGGCTCCGTTGCCAAGGGCCTACACTGTGCTGAGATAGATAGTTGAGATAGAAGATTATGGCATCAGGGAGTGGTGGAGAAAAGATGTTCATCTTATAGCACACAAAGCGACCAGGAAGGCATGGAAAGTAATGTCTAACAACATGCTCCCAGTGATAGACTTTTTCCAACTACACTCCATCTCTGAAATTTTCCACCCCCTCCTGCTAAGGCTGTTAGATTGCAAAATGGTCAAAGTTGACTTCATTGATGGCAGTAAAGCCTGCACAAGCCAGTAACAACGTCAAAGCCCATTAGTAGGCAAGCAAGCATTTAACACATAAGCCCTTGAGAAGTATCTCAAAAAGATACCACAAGGGCTGGAGAGATGGCTCAGAGGTTAAGAGCACTGACCGATCTTCCAGAGGTCCTGAGTTCAATTCCTAGCAACCACATGGTGGCTCACAGCCATCTATAATAGGATCTGATGCCCTCTTCTGGTGTGTCTGAAGACAGCTGCAGTGTACTCATATAAATAAAATAAATAAAACTTTAAAAAAAGAAATATCATCAAAAAGATACCACAATGAACTCATACCCGTTTTTACTTTCTTCTATTTTTACACCTCTTATACTTACTAAAAATTTCTCCTTTCTTCCAGATACTATTTTTTCTTTTAACATTACTGTGTAGTAATTTCCATCATGATAAAAATGTTCATCTTGCAGGGAAGATCTTTAAGGCATGGGATGTTCTCAAAGGTAGAGGAAACATTCCATCCTCCAGGAAGCTGAATAAACAACTCAAAGATTTCAAGAACTCCCTGAAACTGACCAGATACAGTAGGTTCCTCACTCCCTAAGCTTCTATAAGCAATTAGGTCTGCTAAGAGATATACTCAGACAAGCTGAAGTTTCAACCACCCAAGCCACCTGGAAGAAGTAGAAACAGCTGGACTGTCTAGAAGACTCTTATGCCACCCATACTGCCTAGTAGAGGTTCAGACCAATGGAACCACCTCGAAGGATCTCTCTAAAATATGTTGAACTTCATGAAGGCTGTGTAGTAAGCTCTACATTCTAGTATTGATGATCCATCATCCACTTTGGGGTTGCCTTTTAATAATGTAACTTTGAGTCATTTCTATTCCTGTTAGTAAACCCCCATCCAGATTTCTATAAGCAACCTCAATAAAGCTCTGATGATATCTATAATTTGCTCCATTGTTGGTATGCTACCTAGGATAAATTGATATTGTTCAATATATATTATATATTTACAAATAGATATTAT